GTGATAAGATCCTGAACTAAGGTAGTAGCCGTGTCAGTGAGGAGAAGGGGTTAGATGGGAGAGAAGTCATGGAGGCAGAAATGGGAAGATATAGCAAGTGATTGGATTTGTAGAGTGAAGGAGAGTGAAAAATTCAAAAGAAATAGGGAAAAATTGAAAATGGGAAGGTTTAAGAGGATAAATAGCAAGTTGAGTTTTGGCAATATTGAGTTTAAGATGTCTTCGGAACATCCACTTCAAAATGTACAAAAGTCAACTAGTGATTCAGGACTGAAATGATGGTTAAACACATGAAAACTATTGAAAAAATACAGAAGAAAAGAAGGGGCCTACAACAAAAGTATAGGTAACATTCAAAGTTTGGGGATGTGATGTGCATAATGAATCAACAAAAAGGACTGAGAAGGGGCAGTCAGACAGGCAAACTAGAGGAGAATAATGTCACAAAAACCCAGAGAAGAAAGAGTATCCAAGAGGAAAGTGTTGTCAACAGTGATCAATGCAGCAGATAGGGCAAGAAGGGTTAGGGGTAAGAAATGATCATCTAATTTGGCAATCAGGAGATTACTGGTAACTTTGGAGAAAGTAGATTCCATTGAATGATGAGACTGAAAGTTACACTGCAAATGGTTGTCAGTGAGAGACAGCAAGTGGAATCAACTTTTTCCAAGAAGTTTGGCCAAGAAAAGGAAGAGAAGGAGAAAACTTGGCCATGCTTGAAAACAGGAAGAACTTAATCACTTGATAGAGAAAAGTTACAGATTTAAGGGAGAGGTGAGATGACTGAGATATAATCTCGTGGAGAAGACAGGAAGGCACGAGGTAAAGTACACATGTAGAGGAGTTTACCTTGGCAAAGAGAAAGGCTATCTTAACTATCACAGACCAGAGGAAAGAAGGACAGAGTGGGAGATGATGTCAAGGGGTTTTGAAATTAAGAGAATGGGAGAGGGAGAAGCTCATGTCCAGTGGCCTTTAGTTTTTTTCAGAAAAGTAGAAGGCAAGACCCTTAGTTGAAGTAAAGGAGGGAGCAGGACCTTTGTGTGTGTGTGGGGGGGGGGGGTTGCTTAAAGAAAGAGGTTTAAGTGAGATAGGGAATCAATTAGAGAGGAATAAAAAGACTACTCTATTACAGTGAGGGCTCAGGTTAGTTTGGATAAATAGATCTGTAATGGAGCCAGCAGTCAGTGCTGCTGTGGGACTTCCTCCAGCTCCATTCAGCTGCTCATGAGTGGAAACAGAGGACAGGGGTGGTGGCAGTAATCCAGGCCTGAGATTTGGAAAGAAAAGAGCAGCCAACAGGCCATGGGAGCAAGAGGATCAAGAATAAGAAGCCACTGCAGAAATGAAACAATTACCTCCTGGATAGATGTTAGAAAGGAAGGAAAGCAGAGGCAGCTAGGTGGTGCAGTGGATAGAGCACTGGCCCTGAAGTCAGGAGGACCTGAGTTCAAATCTGGCCTCAGACCAAACACTTGACACTTACTAACTGTGTAACCCTGGGCAAGTCACTTAACCCCAACTGCCTTTAAAAAAAAGGGGGGTGGGGTGGGAGGTAGGGACGAAAGTGCAGTCAATGCTGGACTAACAGCAAAGGGAAAGTCTGAACATGACCATGGGGAGCAGAGTCCTCTGAATCCCTTTCCAGAACCAGGGTAGCACAGATGGGCGGAAGAAAGTACAGTCAGTGCTGGAAATGAGGTGGTGTCCTGAGAGGGGAGCCAGATCTGAGGAGGCTTTGAGATGCAGAGTGTGAAAGAGGTACAACATGAAGGGAAACACGTTCACCATGGAATGGGAATTCTACAGGGCACAGTGGAATGGGTGGGTATGATGTGCAGAAAGGGGATGAGGAAATATGAGCAGCAAATAGAGACAGTTTTCTCCTAATTGGTCAATGATTAATTACTACAGGGATAAGGAGTGAAACAAGAGAAGACATAGGGTTTATAATAGTGAAAAGAAGTGGGGATTCTCCAAGCGGGGACTCAAACTTGTTGCTCAAGTCTTTGACTAATACTATATCAAGAAGAAAGTGTTTTCTTGCCTTAAAAAGTATACCTATTTTAAAAAAATCCTAAAATTTATTTTCCAAAATAGCAGATAAGGGAGAAAAAAAGTAATATAAAGGACTTACATGAACAATTACATAGATCTGTAAAACTGAGAAGCAACATATATCATTTTTATGGAGTGAAAGTGATTTTGCTCCTCTGAAGGATCTCTTACTTTCCATATTTCCTTTTCTATATTCAAGGTTCTAAATTCCAAATTCCATTCCTCCAGATATTTTTTTGCAGAAATCGACAGGAAAAGATAGGCTTCTTTCTTTGGAGTTCTTGCCCTAAAGTTGGTTTTTGTTGTTCAGTCGTATCCAACTCTTCATGACCTCATTTGGGGTTTTCCTAGCAAAGATACTGGAATGGTTTGCCATTTCCTTCTCTAGTTCATTTTATAGATGAGGAAACTGAGGCAAACTGGATTTAGTAAGTGTCTCAGGCTAGATTTGATCAAGAAGATGAACCTTCCCGACTCCAGGTCCAGCACTCTATCCACTGTGCCACCTTACTGTTTAGGGCAGAGTAAATTACCTAAACAATAAAGCAAGGACAGTATAGGAGAATTAAGAAGGGTAACTCCAATTTACAAAGCGGGGAAGATATTTGAGAGGATAACTAATTTCTATAGTACTTTCCATCCTCATTAGCTCCACCTACATCCTTATACTTTCTCTTCCCATCCTACCTGTTTACTTTACTTTCACATTCACAATGAATGTGAACTCTACTGTGAGGAATATAGAGGCACATCTCCAGAGCAGACATAGACATTATCCACATTAGCAGCTGAATACAAATTTCAACTTCCAGCTTCAAAACTATGTACAATCTCTGCCTTCAGTCATAATGGATGAAGATACCTAACATCCTTATAAAGGACATCATTCACCTGCACCCTCAGCTTGGACATTTTATTAAGTCTTTTTACTTTGGTGTTATTTTGATTTAAAATACCTAAAAATAGAAGCAGAAACACTCTGATCATAGTGCTCCTTTCCTGTGAAAGGAGACAAGAAGCCCTGGAGAACACCTGCAGATCACAAAAGGGCTGGAACCTGCAAGTAAACTAGATAAAACCATTTCCAATCATAAGCAGGTTGGAGGCTCATCCTGATTGGGAAAAAAAATGTGCTAGCTTTTCAAAGAGCTAGGAGTGCTCAATTTGAAACAGAAATGTCTAAAGTAAAAAAAAGGAGATATATGACATAAGAAAGCTCCCTGAGAATGAGAATGTGAAACCAGATTTAGATGTGTGTGTATATAAGTGTATGTGTGTTTATGTGTATGTGTATGTGTATCAGAGATGATAACCAAAACAAATAGACCCATGACTCGGTATGATCTTTCTTTCTGGAAGCCAAAAATAATTTTACTGTATTTCTAAAAATTTAGCTCTTTGCTTCATGGAATTTATTTTTGTCTTTTACAGACAACTTAACTAACCTATAATGGATCTCTACGTTTCTGAACATTTAACAGCATTTATTACTCATTTGGTCGCTTAGGAATTGCTTTACGCTCTGACTTAACTACTCTATGTTTGCTGTTATTTTGCTCATTTTCTATCTATACTATAAGCTGCCGAAGGTATTCTGTATTCCATTAACACACTGTTTCTCCACAGCAGGCACTTCTTCAAGTAGTTTATAGATAATTCTCCTAATACTTATAAAGAACTGAAAATAGTCAGTAAAAACAAAATGAGCTGAAAGATGGTTTACTTTATTGCTTTTCCTACTGAAAAACTTGAAAGAAAAACATAATTAGGTATTTTTCCCTCCAAGAAAGGATCAGTGATGGTTCAATGAAAACAAGAAAAGTGTGTTAAGTATTTTACAGAAATCAGTCAGATGTCTTAGGGACATTTAAAGAGATTGTAAAAAAGAATGCAACACAACAACACTCACTGATCGTCAATTACATGTAATGTGCCCCTAAATGTTTACATACACTTAAAAGTCTAGCTCCTCATTAGAAAAATATCTTCTACTTAGGAGATTACATGAATTCTATTCTACAAATGACAAAATAATTTTAACACTAAAAAGAGACCACAAGTGCACAAAAGTCAAGAAAATAAAGGAAAAGATAAAGTAGTACTTTGGGAATAATAAAGTCTCAGGGAAGCAGCCAAGAAGGATTAGCACATAATCCCCAAGGTCAATAATCCCTCCCCTTTCACAAAGAAAGCAAATTCTGCAGGAAAAAACCTTTGGGACAGCAGGGGTTAAGACCCACAAAGGACAGCAGGATCCACACACCCTACAATCTAACACCCAAAGAAGACAATGCTTTCAAGGAGAATGGGCAAAAATCCAGCAGCAGCAGAATGAAGAAGACAGGAAGGAAAACATCCATGCAACATTTCATGCAGGGTACAAGTGAGTACAGATGAACACTAAGTGACACATCGTGAGAGAAAGACCAGAGAGAAGTGATTGAAGTACACAGTTGTAAACACACCTCAGTCATAGACACAAACTGCTTACCCTCAGATTTAGTGGTAGTACCATCTTTAAGCAAATTAAAAGAAAAAAAAACAAAGGAAGGGATAACAGGGAACAGTTAGTAACATTAAAAAAGGGCAGAAATTAGCTACTAAAAAAAAAGTGAAAAATTCCATTTTAAATTAAGCTTAAAAGGAAACCAGCTCTGAACTGCAAAGCAAATTCTGAAGCACCTAAATCTGGTATGTAATTTAATTAATGGTTTTGTCTACATTGTAAGAACCAAGAAGCAACTCTGCATACACTGCATATCACCAGAGAAGAAATTTAGCTCAACTACTGCACTCTGAATTTCCTTCCGTCTTTGAAGGAAATTGCTAGCAAAGGGGGAAAAGGTTATACCTATAGGACAGAGAAGCAAGTAAGAAGCTTGCTTTAGCAATGCCTATTCCAATCTACATTATACAGCAGCAAAAGCTGTCTAGCATGGTACCTGGTTCAAGGCCTATGTACTCCAAGTCCTCCCTGATGTGTCTGGACTCTAGAAGTTTGGAAAAGGAGCATCAGATTTAACTCTATTATTCTGAACAAACTTTGGTTATACACTAAAACAAATGTGTCAAGCCAAACAAAAACTGTTAACAAAAAACAAACACTATTATGTTAAGAAATCAATCCACATTTCATTTAATCATTTTTTCTTAAGAGGAAGAGGGGATGAGGTATGAGAACGAACATACTATAGTAACTTTAAAAAAAAAAATGGTATTTGGCAGAAATTTTGATGTGGTGACATCTATAGTGGTCATCCATCTAACATTAAGTCATGGGAAAACAAGAAATAATTAACTACTTCAGAGATGAATTCTGAACTCATATCTTAAGGAACACATGAAATATCAAATTAACAAGAACTGCAAAGAAATCAAAATGGAATTTATAAAAGTTCAACTTTGAGTGTAAAGTGAAGACAGAATGTTGGATTAACTAGATGATTTTCTTTTCTTTTTTAGGAATACAAAAGCTTTGTCTTAGCAAAATGGCAAACCTTTATTTTAAATTTTGGATGAAGTCCTTATCTTCAACATAATCTAATAGTTTAATATTTGGGAAGAAAATACTATTTGTACCCCTTCTCAATGAAATTGACTTGTATTTGTGATCCAACTTTTGTGTGTGTGTGTGTGTGTGTGTGTGTGTGTGTGTTTGTGTGTTTAAAACAATCAGAACATACACATCCCAATGGCTATTTCCTCCTTCAAAGTAGTCCCACTAAAATAAATCTAGACATTTGTCTGAACAGTGCAGCTACAATACACATCTTGAGAACACTTTTTTTTTGAAACAGCTCCTACAAGTACCCAAGGAAAAAAGTCCCACTGTTTTACAATCAACACTTAACTTCCACAAAATGACATTTACCCACCTGTAACACCCACTTCCTTCACTGGGCTTAGCTTCAGATAACTTGTGGCCATTTCCAAAAATTAAATCTAACCTCAGAGGCTAAAGATATACCACAACAAATGATACTGTCTCTTTCAGAAATGTATTGGAAGACCATTCCAAAGAACATCAGAAGTCTTCTCAGCAACAAGTGAAGTGTTTCACAAGGTTATGGCTCTGAAGAACCACTCTCATTTGGATGTATATGCTTTGATATGTTTGTTCAGAGAAAAAGGCAAATTACATCCAATACTCACATCTACAGAAACATAGCTCCGGTGATATTCTTCCTAAAATTTACCATCAATTCATTTTTACTATTTCATTGTTGCTCTTCCTCCTTACTGGAAACAATGGAGACAAGTGGCAAAAGATTGGGAAAGCATGTGTTTGGCAGAATAGTGTGTGGCAGTAAAATGTCTGAGGTGATATTATTTCAAATATTGGTGACTGACACAGAAGGTTGAACTGAGGGAAAAGCACCCTGTTTAATGTCAAATTACATATGTATTGATTTCTAAGAAGGATAACACTCAGCACATGGTAAGCATTCAATATGTACTATGACCTGCATATGTTCATTTCCTGAATATCCATTCATAGGATTTTGAAATTTCAACTATGGCATTCTTAAAGTCTGACTAAAATAACAAACTTGATAAATTAATTAGAATGTTGGGAAAATTTAACAAAATTTGAACTGCAGAGTTTTTAGGGCCTACCTAATGATGCATACGATCCTGGAGGCAAGGCAGCTGCTGAACTGAAAGGGGTGGAGCCAGCTGTTGAGACTTTTGATTTGGCACTGGCTGCTGCATTCACATCAATGTCGCTCCGAGACCGCTGTAGGGATCCAGTTGTTGAAACAGATTTGGTACTAACTGTAGAAGCTTAATGTGGGAGAGAGTAAAATACAATAGTAAGCACTTTACTATAACCACACACAACCATGTTGAAAAAAAAAATATTTCTCCAAGGCTATTTCTTGACAAGCACCTATGCACCAAAGCAGCCCTAACCAACTCAAACTGGCTAAAACAAGTTCATCTCATCCCAAACACATCAGAGTGAATTATACTGGAATACAAAACACTGGTTAATAATGAATGGTACAAGAATGGAAGTGTTTTCATATTGGGTTCCTCTCTTCATTGTCCCACTCACTGTACCTTTTGCAGGAGGCCTTTCTCAGTCTCTCTCCTCCCTAGCTCTTCCCTCACACACTCACCCACCTGCTGGTGTGCATTCCCTCTGAGATCACCTGCCATTTATACCTATATATTATGCATGTTGTCTCCCCTTTAGAACATAGGATCCTTGAGGGAAGGGTCGGTATTTTGCTTTTCTTTATATTCTCAGTGCTTAGAACAGGGTATATCTGGCACATAACATGTGGTAATAAATGCTTGTTGACTGATTAATTGAAAATGACTGACTACATATGTAAACATGCTGGCTTATTCTCCTTTTCTTATTTCTGAAGACAATAGAGAAGATTGTTTTGCCCTCCTAAGTCTCCTCAGGAGTTGGCAGCTCCTGCTGGCAACATCTCTGTACCCCGTTTTCTGAGCTTCCTTCAATTTTCTTAATTTTAATTTCCTCCAGCAGAAAACTGCTCTACTCACAGGACTGACAAAAAGAAATCAGAGACACGTGTTTAAGAAAAATTCCTTCAGACACATAACACTAGTTGTGTGACTCTGGGCAAGTCACTTAACCCCAATTGCCTCACCAAAAAAAAACAAAACAAAACAAAACAAAACAAAAAAAAAAAAAAAAAAAAACTTTGGTCCTAATTTTTTCCCTCACTGTTAATTCCAAAATTTCTTCTTATCATCAGTGAAACTGCAACTGGAGTTCTGTAGAAAAAGAAAGGCAAACCATACGACAAAGAAGCATAGATCTATGTAGCTGACATGGAAGGAAGTTGATAAACAGATAATTTGCTTTCTAAAGTCAAGCCATCAAAAGTGGGTTATCTATCACAATCCAGACTACAGTTTGAGCAATGGGGGAATTCCCATCTTACCTCCTTCCAATTTAATGTGGTAAACATTTGTTAAATGCCTACTGCATGCAAGGCACTATGCTAAGGTGCTTGGGATATGAAAAAGACAGATGGTACCCTCATGGAGCTTACAATCTAAAGGGCAAGACAATCCACAAAAGAAAGTGGGGGGGGGGGGGGGGGGGGACAGGGATGTGCACCAGGCACAGTTTCACTAAAAGAAGGCTTCCAACTTCAGGAAACTTCTGTGAAAACTAGGTTTATTAAAAGAAAAATGAACATGCATGTGTAACCCAAATAGTTCACAATCCATACAGAAGTTTACATTTTTATAATGGCAAGAGAAGGCATCAGAATCTCCACCTAAAGGGGTGTGGCATGGGAGGAGAAAAGGTACCGTAAAGGCAGGAAAAGGACAAAACCCCTCCCAAAAGGGAGGAGCAAAGCAATGGCAAAAGCCACATTCCTTTCTCTTGGGAACTGCTAGACCAGGCCTGCACAACTTGTAGCCTGCACTTAAGGCTGCTTGGCACGCCAAAGGATTTCCTCTCCATACAAAGGATGTTTTCCTCTACATTTTTCCACAAGCTGTACAGGCCTGCGCCAGACCATGACCATAGGCTGCTCCACTTATCTACAAGGGTCCCAGCTGCACAAGCAATTTCTCAGTCTAGTGCAGACTGACAGGTACCTGTCTTAACTCCCAAGGACACAAAGAGGATCCAGCTCGGGATGCAAACAACACATTACATCAGTGAGGGGGGGGGGGGGGGGCTTTGTCTTTGACACATTCAGGCCTCCTGCACACTTTGGGTCCATGTTTTTGGAAAATATGGCAATTCAAAAAAAGGCAAGTTCAGGGGACCCCTTAACATTCCTCTTACCTCGAGATGTGGAACTTCCGGTTGGGCTTCTTTTGGCAGACAGTGGACGGCTGGCAATTAAGAAAGATCTATGTTAACATTTATATAAATCACAGGATCACATACTTCTTTGAACTTCCTCCGAAATCATGTATCCTTTGTGTATATACAATCTACACCACACTTATCATTAACTTGTTTACATATTAGCTTAAAATTGTTCTTGATATGTGCTATATAAACAAACTTTTACTGTAAACTCCTTAATACTGAGGACATTTTTGCCTTTCTTAGTATCCTCAATTAGCTCCTAAAATGGGCTTCTGAACACAATAGGTACTCAATAAATGCTTACTAAATTATTCAGAGCCAAGATAACCTATAGCTACTTGTGCCTTCATAAAGAAAAGTTTTCTACACACACACACACACACACACACACACAAAATCACCTCCGAGATAAAAAACTGAAAAGAATAATGAAACAAAACAAAGAAACAAAAAAACTGGAATTTGATCTCTTACTTTAGGCTCTCTTGAGAACTAGAAGAGGAACGATCCGACTGAGGCAAAGACACGATGCTGTCTGAGTTCTTTAGATGTGACTGTAGAGCTTTCTGATAAGATGACTCTAATGTATGGTACAAATGTTCTGCTTCTCTACTGAAGTGACTGTGGAAACCCCAATAACATCTGGAAATAAAATCCAAAAAGTCTCAGTAAAGACATATAATCAATTCCCCCAAACCCTGGATTAGAATGTTGTCACTAAAGCTGAGCCCTGGACCACCTCACACACAATTTTGCTGCTGCCAGAGAGTGACTGTGAAGTGCGAGGAAAACAAGGCCTAGAGTAAAACCTCAGCACAGTAGGACTGAACTGCCACAACGGTTTGGAGACTTGTGTGCTTTTTGTTTTACACTGTTCTACACTGTGCTTTACAAAACTTATTCTGCTGTTCATGTACGTTTTTTATCTAGATAAGCCTTGAGTGTCTGGCTCCTTAGTTGCTGGGGAATTTGGTGCATGCAGAAGAACTAATATAGTATTTATTATGATACATCTGTGCCACAAGGTCAAGACAACCTGCATCCCTTGAGAGTATGTTCTGATCCATTCCCTACATGGTAGGTACTAGCAATGTAAACTTATACAATGCTCCTAAAAAATAATGACAACAACAACAACCCTATAATCATACATAGCTAGTTTAATGCTGGAAACAACAAAAAGTAAACATATTTAGGCACAGACAAGAAGCAAACAACTATATTGTAAGAGATTTTAGAGATTAAAAAAAAAAATAACAAAAAAGCACCATGCCAGATATGTCTGGAAAGTGAAAAGTATCTATAGTGCTTTGCTAAAATAAATTACCTTATTGAATTTAAGGCTGATTGAGATGCTATACATTTAAGAAGAATTAAAAGATATTAAGTGGTTCGATTTTTAAACTGATTTCCTCCTCAAATTTTATAAATGAAATGAAAAATTAATTATTCACTTAATGTTACTGTGTATTTTGGGTAGCATTCTATGGTATGATGAAGACCTATAAATCTATTTGGGATGGGGTATGGGGGTAGGGAACAATTGCTGAGGGGAGATGATAGGTTGTGGAGAGTCAGTAGTCAGAAATAGACCAATAGTGCAAAACTGTTCTTTAAAATATAAACTTAATCTAATAGTCCAAATTTTGACTTAGGAAATAATTATAATAATGGTTTCATGTGCACTAAAAATCCTCAATAGTGATTCAGAAATTATGCCAATAGAAACTTATTCTCAGAGTACTTTTATGAAACATTCCCAAGTTATTTGAGCAACAATTCAGCTTGGATGCTTTTTAACACCTAATTAGAACAAGAAAAGACTTTACTCATAAACATATGCTTATATTATGGGCTGGGTTTTGAAGAAAATTTGATAATAGTATCATTAAAACTTCTTAAACTATTAGCAATGGCATACAACCAATAAAATTTTCTGAAATTGTCTATTAGATGTATAGCTTGATCTTTGAGAAAAGCCACATCGAATAAACTCTTAGACAAAAGAAACTAACACAACCAAGATCTAAAGTTTTTTAGTAGGAAGTAATTCAGGAAACACTTACTTTCTTGCTTCTATCCTTGCTTCAGAATCAGCATCATGTATTCCTTTCTTTATTGTTTCTGCTAATACTGATATGTGTCTGTTTACATGAAGAGATATTTTTATGAGCAAGTAAGCCCAGAGAAACAATTTCAAAACATTAATATCAAATTAAAAGATATTTCTATTGCTTGCATCTTGAGAAATAAGAAAAACAAGCCTCAGGGCATTCAAACTTTAAATCCCCCTCCTCGCCCAATTTCTTTTATGTAGCTGGCTCTCCAGGCCAATCTCAGTTCTATGGGAGCAGAAAACCAAAGGTTACATTTTTCTGTAGTCAATGTAATGTCTTCTGGAAATAATGATGGGATTAAAGTAGTCTCAGATCAACACAACTGTGGGTGATCCTCTTAATAACAAAGGACACTGCTTTAAGTAGTCAAGATACGATTTACATTTAAGGATGTTTTCACTTGAATCTAAAAAAAATCACATAGCCATTTTGTAAATGGGTATTTCTTTTGTTACCTCTGCTAGCTGAGAAAGAAGTCAAGTATAATTCTTTTCAAAGCATTCAAAAAAGGAAAACAGTCAGGCTAGATTATTCCAACAAATTGAAAAAAAAAAAACACAAACGAATAAATCTTTGCAAATAAGTACAGTTTTACCAAATCAAAGCATGTACCTATATCTGCCTCACCTTGCACCCAAGAATTATTTACCAAGCATAAACCATTCTCTATTTTAAAACCATAGATTTAAACAAAACACTAACTTCTCTAATAATATGCAGATATTATCACACTAAAACACTCTGTATAAGAAAAGTTTTTCTCATCCTAGCAGTTGAACAACAGTCAACAGTAATGGGTTTTGTTGCTCGGTAGCCAACAAAATTATTACCTAGTAAAATAGGAGATAATTCCTGTAACAGTCACTCTCTAGCTATAAAATTAAAGTGCCTAATTCTTTGCTAAGGTGAGAAGGCTTAAGTTTTCTTAAGGCCATTCAGAGGCTTTTTTCCATTAAAAGCAACAACTGCCCTCATCCTAGCAGAACGCAGTTGCTTTGAGGATAAAAACTGCTTCATTTGTATCTGTATTCCAAAGTCTAGCCCATTTCCTCGCACACAGTAGACAATTTAATATATATGTGTTCAAATGAACCCCAAACACCTGGCCAAATCTATCTCTCAAAAGGAAAAAAATAAGCCACTTCATTTCCCAAGTTGCTCGCCAGTACAAAGCATGCAAAAATATCAAAGAACTCCACTAAGGATCTGCCTACCAGCATCCTATCCTTCACCAGATTCAGAGAACTTTTCACTTACCAATGTACCTTAAAGAGGATGAGCAATTACTCTATTTCATAAATAATAGTGGAAATAAGACTTGTCATCGAATACTACACTTTAACAAAACTCCACTACAACTGAAATGTTTGAGTGTCCCATTAAACGAAAAATGAGAGTTAGAATAGATGGAAGGGCCTCAAAAGTCCATAGGATCAAAGAATAATGGACTCAAAATCAGAAGGGACTTTAAAGGCCATTTGTGCTTTTCTAAATATGGTCTAGTTGGTTGATGTCATTACTCTGGTTCTGTGTAATAGATTTAGAAATTTATCATCAACTCTTATTAAATTTCATTTTATTAGCTTCATCCCCCTGCTACAGACTTGAGATTCTCTTATCCAAAATACCAGCTATTCCTCTCAGCATCCTGTCAGCCCCAAATATGACAAATATGCCATCTATGCCTTCATCCATTTCATGGGTTCCACAACATAAGACTGAGGAACAAGTGACACAAGGCTAACACTGACAATGATCTTCAGGCTCAAAGTGGACACAAAAGTAGCCTTCTAGACTAGGGAGGGGAGAGGGAGAGACGGGCAGGGGGGGAAAAGAGAGAGGGAGAGAGGGAGACACACACACACACACACACACAGAGAAAGAGGCAGAGACAGAGAGAGATGAGAGACAGAGGTAGAGAGAGACAGAGACAAAGACAGAGAGAGACAGAAAGAGTCAGACACAGAGACAGAGAGATGAGACAGAGAGAGAATAGCAGAGATTATCTTGCTTCAGAAGGTGCTCCTTTACAGTTACAGTTACCACCAATTTCATTTCTTGAAACCTACAATTATTGCAGTTACAACCCACAAACTATGCATATCAGGTGGGACAAGTACACTAGATAGAATGCCAGGTCTGGAGTCAGGAAGATCTCAGTTCAAATTTGGCCTTAGACACTTACTAGGTGTGTGACCCTGGGCAAGTCAAACCCTGTTTGCCTCAGTTTCCTCATCTGTAAAATGAGCTAGAAAAGGAAATGGGAAAACATTCCAGCATCTTTGCCAAGAAAACTGCAAAAGAGGTCCTGAAGAGTCAGACACAACCGAAAACGACTAAACAACAACAACAAAATGCATATCAAGGTTTTCTGACTATTTTATTCTAAGGTTTTTAAATAATGCAAAGAATTTTCTAATAGCTCTGATATTCCCTTGCCTTTTAAATATATTTTAAATGTCTACTAGTACACTGCTGGTGAAAAATCAATAAGTCTTATGTAAAGAGATCAGATTCTATAGTACTTAATCTTGTCTACTGATAAAACTATGATATAGTATTTGTTACTACTACTGACAATAATAATACAACAGTTAAATTTAATAAAAGCTCCATTTTTGCCCCTAATCACTACATAGCACAATGTAAATAACAAGTTTATCAGGAAATATCAATAAATGTCAAAAATATCAAGTCTGATGCTCACCTTTCTAGTGAATGTGTTTGCCATTCTTGCAAAAGCAAATCTAAAAATTCAAAACAGCGCCTAAAAATTGTTTTTAAAGAGAAAGATTATAATTTGAAGAATTTCTGTGTGAGAGGATACACATAAATATATATGCTTTATTGATTCAAATTTAGGTTTCACTGACCCTTCCCTATTTGATTTGTACAAAAACCAGATTATTACCAATAGTTAGGACTTTATTTTCAGCATATAGTTATATTTTTTCCTTTTAAAGTGATCTCAGAAGGGAGGTTTATGACATAATATTGTGTGTATACATACACATACACACACACACTTCTGCATACATACAAATGACAGCATTAATTTTCCAACTAGGAAATTTTTTGTGTTTGATACTTGCTAGACAACATAATGCAAATGTGTTGCCAAAATGTATAGAAGACAAGAGAAACATGACTGTTGAAGCTATATAAATCAAAGTTAACACATTTTAGATTTTAATTCAAGCAAAACTAATGTGAGCTGCAACTGAATATTCAACCAAGCTAGGATCTCAGCAACAGTTATGAAGCAGAAAGCTAGGAAGCTGTCTTAGGAAACAGAAACACACGAACACAGGAAGAGTGACAAACAGACACACATCTATACCCCACATACCCACAGGCAAATCAGCAATAGAAGTTGTGTGAATACATCAAGAATATTTCTATAAAAATCACTTTAAGTGAAAAGTACTTATTCCAACATATTTAAGTTGTTTCTATGCATTTTATATACATTTTGAAAGTTGTAAAGTTTGCATTTTTATCCTGTTTTGAATTCCACCAACTAAAATTTAGAGAAAATCTCAATAGTGCTCACCTTCTAACTGCGACGGATTTGGATGTACAGTTGCTAGTTATAACAGGTATTAGCCTAGGGATGTGTGTGTGCTGTGGAGAAGAGAGAACAAATATGGGCACTTGAAAACATAAGTAGTCATCCAACCTTTTTTTTGGTTAGTGTACTTGTCATACATTATTCTGTTCAGAAAGCCAAAGACCATGGCAAATTATATACTGAAAACAAATAATGAGATAACAAGTGTACACAGATAACATGAGATAAAATAATTTTATAAGGTTAGATTTTAATAGTTGAAATAAGAACAGTACATTTATAAGGTTAGATTTTAATAGATGAAATACAACAGAAAACATTTAAGATGTTTTCACAAGAATCAAACCCATATATCACCCATGTCACTTAAACTCTAGCTAAAGTAGTTTTAGTACTAAATAAGAAACTTTAATAGTTACATACAACACTTCTTAAACAGTGTGTAACTTACCTTTTCTGGCACTGTTATAGAGAAGACACAAGTAAAAAGCACAAAAAATTTCTGGCACCATTCCAGATAAATAAGGGCAGATAAAAAAGTATGCTATAAGGTCTTCTAGCACATGGGTTACATAGATATGTATTCTTTGGGCTAAGTGAAATCCTAAACTTATGGTGAAGGCAACGAGCATGATCTCAAAGTAGGCTGCTCTGAAGCACGGTTTCTTTAATAATTTTCTGTGTGTGTGTGTGTGTGTGTGTGTGTGTGTGTTAGTTATGGACTCCTATGGAAATATAGTAAAGCCCACGGTGGGGAACCTGTTGCCTGGAGGCCACATGTGGCCTTCTAGGTCCTTGGGTGTGGTCCTCTGATTGAATCCAAATTTCACAGAACAAATCCTCTTAGTAAAAGAATTTGTTCTGTAAAAGAGGCAAATAGGGTTAAGTGACTTGTCCAGGGTCACACAGCCAGGAAGTGCCTGAGGCCAGATTTGAACTCAGGAAGATAAGTCTTCTTGACTCCATGCCTGGCACTCTATCTACTGTGGCTACCTGCTGCTCCATATTGAAGCACAGATATCAAAATATTACAAAAACAAGTTCATGGAGCTTAGGTTAAGAACTCCTATTCTAAAGGCTTGTGTGAGTTTAGGAAATATGATATCCCAAAATACACAGTAAATAATACTTATCTAGCCAGCACTTTTCATTATATTCCCTAGAAAAGTCTGTCTGAAGATGATAGCTTATTACACATAGAATTCTGATATTCAGTCTTCCTTGAGAAATTACTTGATTCCATGAAGATGGTAGTGTTGAAACAGTCTGTAGTAGTCAAGCAAGTGGTAATGTGGGAGAGTGAAAAGAGCCCTCAATGCATGAGAAGCCTAGATTTGAATCCCACAGCCAACATTTATTAGATGTTTGACCACAGGAAGTCACATAACTTCTAGAAGCATTGGTTTCCTTACCTGTTAGATGGAAATAAGAATACCTCATAAGGTTATTTTTCAGGAACAGAGATAGTATAAGTAAGGTATTTTGTGAACTTTAAAAATGTCTGCTGTAGATATTTGTTTATGGCCACATGAACACCAGTTCTAATTGTTTTTTTAAAATCTAACCTTAGGTTAAGATTTAAGAAATTATTTTGTCAGATTTCCAGACAACAACTGTTAACACTTAACGCAGTTTTAAGTTTTACAAAGCATTTTACATACTACCTCAATTTATCCTTACAACAACTCTGCAAAGCTGGTGCTATTTTTTCATTTTGCAAATAGGGAAACTTGGACCAAGAAAGATTAAGTTACTTTGCCCAGGGTCATACAGAGCTAAGAAGTATCTGAGACAAGATTGGAAATAAAGTCTTCCTAACTCCAAGTCTGGCATTTTATCTACTGAACCACCTGGATGTGCCTACAGACCACATAAACATAAGCTATTATTAAAATGGCAGTGTTTCAATATAGTGCTTAAAGTTTAAGTTATGGTAGCTGTTTATGTACAGAATTTACATCTTTTTACTGTTTCACCCCATATAAAAAGATAATGATCTTTAAATATAAATAAAAACCAAAAAAATTTATATTTACAACTACTTATATTTGACAAAATGAAAATGTGCATTTAATAATATTTTACTGGATGCATGTCCAATTCAGCTTTCTTTGTCCATTTAGTCCTACATGTTTGTATACATTTTTCCTTTTATATAGTTGTGTATAATTAATCTTAATTACAATACTCTACATTTAAATTCAATCATTTATTTAGCAACTCCCCAGTTCCTGAACATTTGAAGTTATTTTGGCATGTTTTTTCAACAAAAAAGAATGTTGTTATTACTATGTGTAATCATACACAATGAAAAGTAATGCAATTAAATGTTACCTTTAAATAAGTAGTTTTACAAACAAACAATCTTCAGGTATATTCTCAATAATGGGATTACTAAATCAAAGTTTACGACTGCTAGATGCTTATGCTTACGGCTACACAGAAGAGAATAGGAGGTAGAAAGGAAGGTTTTCTAAACAAAGGTATGAATTATTTCCCTTTTGAAATAAAAATATTCAAACCTTAAAGTAATCTAAAGAGAAAGTAAGCTTAGAGACTGAGGAGTTCTTTTAAGGTTGGAATTTTACAGCCACCTGAATGTGTATATTGTTCAACTGAGCATGGAAAAGAGTTGATCAAAGTAAGATATAGAATCTAAACACCTTCTCATCTCTGAGTCAGGCCCTTCTAATATATCATCATCATTAGTTTGTCTGAACATTTGCTGTTTTCCAATATATTAAACATGTTTGTTTTATTAAAATCACAAAAAGAATCATGTCTTTTAATATTATCTGCAAGTCTGAATTACTATACTATTGCTCTTCTCCAGTGAAATAGATAAAGAAGGAAATAAAGTCCTTATGATGGTTCTAGAAAGCTTAAAACTCTTAGCCTAATTGGGTTACTTTTTGCAAGATCATTTTCATGATATTTAAAAGCTTTAAAAGTAAACGTCATAATAACAAAAGGAGACTGAAACTAAAGTACATTCAGGTCATCAACTAGTTAAATGGAGGTTTGTGGGGCGGGGGGAGAAGAAGACATATCAGGTGAGGAAGAATTGATGGGACTGGGGTTAACATAAGAACCCTATAAGGGACTTCAGGGGCGGGGGAAACACTGGACTATGTATACTTTAAGATCCAACTCTAACACCCAAGAAAAGGAAAGCTTTCTCCTGCATTCCATTCTTTCTACTTTCCATGGGGAGCGAGAAAGGAAAATGAAGCCCCAAAGCCAACTGTGGTTAAACTGAACCAGCCAATGGAAGAAAACAATGACAAGTGGTAGCAGACCACAGAGGAAAGATCATGGGATCTACAGTCGAGGCATCTCCTTCAAATTGCTGCTATGCAACATATTACTCGAATGACCTTGGACTAATCATTTAACACCTGGGTGCCTTAGTTTCCTCATCTATAAACAAGGGAGTTGAAAGAGATGACCTCTAACATCCCTTCTAGGAGTCCAGAAAGTCAGAGCTCCAATTCTGCCTCAGTCACGTACTGGCTCTGTGATCCTAAGTCCCTTTACCTCTCACAGCATCCTCATCTATAAAACAGAGATCATACTAGCACCTACCTACCTCATAAGGTTGTTGTAAGGATAAAGTGAGAGAATATATGTAAAGATCCTATGCGTAGGAGCCCAAAATAGACAAAGGTGACAAGAGAGGTCTCTTTCTAAAAATGGAAGCTATTATAAAAACCAAGTCAGAAGACTACACACCAAATGGGAATACCAGTATCATGAATGCCTCATTTTTGTTACCATCAGCAACAAACATAGACTGAGCCCTTACAACATACATGACATTTAAGCATACTTACTCGAATAATTAATCTAACAGCTACAACACCAGATGTGGCCATGATTTTGGCACTGTTTGGGATTAAATTAAAGATGGTTGGCATGATGGCTTCAGCTCCATGATCAAATTTGTTTCCAAGGACTGATGACAGATGCCTTCAAAAAAAAAGGAAGGGAGGGGGAAAAGAAGGAGGGAGAAATAGACCTGTGCCTTTTGTTTGGTATTTGTTGCAACTATTACAATTAAAGAGGGAAAGAAACATGTCACAAAACAAAAGCATTCTACATCTAAAAAAACTTCTCGTCCTTGTCATGCGCAGCACATAATTTTTTTTAAATGATTTATTTCCATTCCATCACCCACTTACCTTTTAAGCACTGGTATATTTATTGTCTATTACTTGATTTTTCAACATATTCTCCCAGTTGAATGACATTTATTTTTGAATAATTAAAAATTAATTTTATTTTCACTGATTAATTCAACAAGCATTTATTAAACAACTACAATGTCCTAGGCATTATGTTACTTACAGGGAATACAAAGGAAGAAAGAAAACAGAAAGAAAAAAAGAGAAAAAAGAAGCCCCTGTCCTAAAGGAGGTTATATTGTATTTGAAAACTGCATGAGCTGACATTCTTTGACAGAAGTCGGAAACTATTGAGATAATGCAGTATATCAAAAAAATTAGGAATTGCTATTCTACAAATAGTATTTTGTGACACGTTGCTATGTGAATTTTATCGCTGTCTGTCACTAAATAAAAGACTGAATATCCTTCCCGAAAACTGAAAAATTAGCAGATTTCATCAAATATTTTCGAAGAAAGAATAAAATCCTCACCCAAACCATAAGATGAACATTTTGTGGGAGACAGGAAAAAAAGGCAGGTCACAGAATATGATGGGGAAAATCAACACTTAAGAGCAATTCTTTAAGTTTTAGGATAAGGAACAAAGAGAACCTAGAGGATTGGCACATCAGAATGTTTCCAAAGGAGAAAGACTTAGTACGACCAGTTAAGACTAATGTACATTAACAAAGCATTTTATATTTGGTTTCATCAGCCAATTCAGGGTTTTCTTACCCCTGTTAGCTTAATAATATATGTATATGAGACTTCCTTCCTCTTATCTTCCTTCCCCTACCCACCACAGTCAAGGATCCGTTGTTTTCTTCCTCTGACACTCTACACAGATAAAACTGGGTTCGTATTATAATCTAAAATTTTGCCCTACAAAGGTTGTAAGGTGTGGTGGAAAAAAGCAATAAATACAGACTTAGAAGACCTGGGTTGAAATCCCAACTCTAACATGTAAGTCTGGGCCTCTATGAAATTAGGGAGTTCATGTGGATGCTTTCTAAAGTATGTTCCTGTTTTACTGGATAGTATCCTATTATGATCCTATAATGCTAAAACCTTAGCAGGTCATATGCAGTCATAATAATAAAATAAACAATGGGAACACAGTGTAGTGGAGAGATGGCTAGGCATTCTTGGGAGTCAGTGAGTCCTGACTGGATGACCAGGCTAAGTCCTAATTTAACCTTGCTTTCTCAGCAACTCTTGAACACTCTAAGCTATGCATGAGCTGCCCACTACAATGTGGAGGAAGTTTACACTGAGAGTTCCTTATATTGATGGTAAAAAAATAAACTAAAAGTGTATGTGTGTGTCAGTACATGAATGTGTGTATGTGTGTCACAGATCCAATCTGTATTGGTAGAAGGAATCTGCTCACCAGGAGTTCCTATACTAATAGTATCCCAGGTCCAGCCCCAAAATTATTCAACCAGTTTTGACTAGCACTGGCTGACTGTAAGTATGTAAACAAATACACACTCATTTTTGGCCTGACTCCCATACATAAATTTAGAGAATGCTGGTTATAGCTGGTTGAAGGAGAGTAAACCTCTCTAAAGGGGTGTGTGAGGTTTAAGACACAGGCTACTCTGTAAAGACACACGGATCAGGGATTATAGGGGACATCTAGTTCAAGCCCTAGTTCTGTAGATAAGGTAATTAAGGCCTAGGGAGATAAGTGGCTCAACTAAAGTGACATAAGCACAGTGACAAGCAGGAATTGAACTCGGGTCCTCTGACTCTAAAACTCACTTATCTCACTGCCTTTACTGAAGTGGCCACAGTTTAGAGGCAACTCTAAGAGGAAGGACCACAACCACATCAGCCCCTCGTGGACGGTAGTCTCATGACATTCCCCTTTACTCATTCCCCTTCAATCAATTTCCAGGTCCTCTGCTGCTCTACACTGCTTGTTCCACAGTGAGAAGAAACAAACAAACAAACAAAATGCATGGTGAGTACCAATCCATGAACAGGGATCCCATAGCTATACGCCAACTTAAGACATTATTATATTCCCTTCTGACAAAACGTAGAGATCAGTAATTTTAACAGAGTATGGATTCAATATTACAGATTATGTTCATTTCTAAATGAATACTTTTCTAAACTATCAGCGAATTCATTACTATTCTTTTGTACCATAGTTGAAATTTCAGGTTAACTATGAATGTGATGCACTACATTAAACAGCTACGAAGCTGTTTACGGGTGTTCTAAGACTACTAAAATAATCCTTTTAGTCAGATGTTCTAATGAATGGTCTAAGAATTAATTTTTTGCCATCTTTTAAAAATACTCTGCAATAAATAAGGGGAGTGCTATTAAAATTACCTCTACCACCACATACCAAAAAAAAAAAAATTAAGAACTATATATATCTAGTTGTTTTTCAGGAGTTTTTCTTCTTCCAATAAATAATCCCAATCTATGAACTTTGTCAAAACCAAATATCCAAATTTATCACCTAATTCAGATCCTGGGGCAACTACTTACCAGAAATCATATTATTATTCCAACAGAATATTTCTCTAATGTCCACCTCCCCTTTCCTACTAGTCCCGTCCCTATTGCTAACATGTGCCTTCTTAAAAAACATTCACTACACCCAATCACCTTCAGTTATCATCCTATATCTCTTCTTCCTTTCTCAGCCAAATACATAGAACAAAGCTAATACTTCTTGCCTCAATTTCTTTTCCTCTCACCTCTCAGCCCTCTGCTAGCTGGTCTTCAACCTCATTAATGAACTGAAACTACTGTGTCAAAAAGTATCAATGAACTCATTTTCAACCTCAGGGTCTTTTCTCAACTCTCATATTTCTCAGTCTCTCTGCAGAACTGACACTACTGACCACCTGGATACTCTCTCCTCTCTGGGTCTTCATGTCTCTGCTTTTTCTTGATTCTCCTCCCACCTGACTGCTCCTCAGTCTCCCTAGATCGTTCAACATCCATATCACACCTACTAACTCTGGTTCTGTCTCAGCTCCTATATATTCTTTTTAAGAGTTCTATATATTCTTTTTATTTAGATCTTCATGTACATGACTCCAAGACCCAAACATTCAGCTCCCGTCTCTTAGCTCAAGTCCCTTATCATTAACTGCCTACTGGACAACTGAAACGGGATGTCACATTGGCATATCAAACTAACATGTCCAAAACAGAATTCATCGTAATTTCCAGTAATCCTTGACCACTTTTGAGCTTCCCTGTTTCAGCTGAGAGCAGATCCATCCTTCTATTCTCTAGGTTCACAACTTTAAATGTTCTCAACTCCTTCATCTCTCTAATTCCAGACATCTAATTGCGCTACATTTTGTCATATTTGCCTCCACAATACCTCTAGAACACATCTACTTTTCACTACTCCTAGAACAGCCTGCTAAGTTCAGACTGTCATCTCTTCTTCCCTACTCCCCCCTATTATTAACCACCTTCTAACTGCTCCCCCCACTGCAGCATCTCTAAGACATCCTCCACACGACTGTTGAATGGATATTTCCAAAGGTCAGGTCTGGTCATCCCATCCCCCTATTCAATAAGCTCCACTGGCTCATTATTGCTTTTAGATCAACACAAACTCCTGCTTAGCCTTGAAAATCCTTCTTAACCTGGCCCCAAACTACTTTTCAATCTTCTTACACATTACACCCCTTCCCACCCTCTCCCAACTAAGCAGGTAAGTCTTGCTAGTGTTCACACATGATGTTCTACCTCTCACCTGCACACTTTTGTGTTGGATGCCCCCCAGGCCTTTAATGCACTCTCTTCTTATCACTCCCTCCTAGTATTCCTTATTTCCCACAAAACTCAGTTAAAACAGTATCTTCTTCATGGAGTCTAATTCACCCAGCTCCTAGTACCCCCATTCCCCAAAATAACCTTATAATTATTTTATATATGCTTACAAATACACATGTTAAAAAAAAACCCAAATACATATGTTCTCTCCTCTCTCATCTCTTGCACAAATATTAGCTTCTTGAGGGTATAGACAGCTTCATTCCCCCCCCCACATCCCAGCACCTAGCCTAGTGACTATCATATAATAAATGCTTGATCTTAATAGGCTAGTCCTAAGATTTAAAGTAAATGTGACCAGGAAATAAAATACTAATCAGTTTTCTAAGTCCTAAGATTAACAAATTTCAAAGCAAGAAAGAGATATTTCCATGTCATAATCTTTAAATTAAAGTAAAACATCCCTTCATAGTTAAAATAAATCTTTCAGAGTCTAGCTCTTTCCATGAAATAACATTTAAGTAACTACTTACATAAATACAACTAGATTAGGAAATACTTCATAACAACGTGTCACTAACACGAGCCTTGGAGAGTAACTAAAGTGTAAGCTATGGCTTACTTCTGAGATTCCACAAATAACATCCTATGGAATACTCTTACAAGATAAATTTGTGAAATATTTAAGAATCTGGAAGAACGCATTTCTTACCCCAGAGTGATACAAGCTTCTCGTACAACTTGAGACCGAAGGTCTTTAGCAGATAATTTAAATGCTCCATCCAAAAGACGCAAATGTTGAAAGAAATTATCATATTCAGCAGCTCCAGCCAAAAGTAATGATCGAATTTTTTTCAGCTGACAAAAGACAGATGAATTATAGATATAAAATATTTCTCCAAACTGAATATATTCAGCAATGAAAAAAATTGGTGTCAAGTAGATTTAAAGTCTACAAAAGCTGAAAAAACAACCTATCAATATAAGAATTCAAATAGTTAAATGTTAATGGCTATTAAATGTTCCAAATATTAAATACGTTTAGAAACAAGAGGATGCTAGAACTCCACAGGCTTTCAGAGTCTACTACTACCCCAGAAAGTTCAGAGCAGCTCTATGCTTTACAATGTAACATGTAAAATAACTGGAATTATTATTTAGGGGCAAGTTAGGTGTTTCAATTATTTTTTCCCACAAGCACTAAGTGATTTAAAGTAAACAAATATCTACTGTCTTACAGCTTTCTAACTGAAAGGATAAGCTGACTTCAAATACAGCAGGTAGCAATTATAACACTTTTGTGATCAATCATCTTTGAACAGTCTTGCTCAAGTAAAATACAATCCTTCATCAATCCTGAGCTCCCAGTGGTCCTACTTTGTTACTCAATTGGTTCAACTTATAAATTCTTTAAATTACTTAATCTACTTTTCTCTACTATAATATAGAAGGGAGGATGATCAGAAACCAAAATGTCACCTTTGTAGGACACAACTGCCACTATCATTCCCACTCTGTTTCTTATTTTCAATCTCTCCCTGTCTACTGGATTCTTGGACTGCCTACAACCCTTATCTCATGTCTCCCTTATCCTTAAAAAACTGTCACTTGATCTGACCATCCCTGCTATTGTCCTATATCTCTCCTCCCCTTCATGGTTAAACTCTGACAAAGTCATCTACAATTGGTAATTCCACTTCTTCTCTCACTTTCTCCTAACAACCTCAGCAATGTGACTTCTACCTCGTCATTTGACTGGAACTATCTTTTTCATGGACAAATCTAACAGCCTTTTCACAACCTTGATCCTCACTGACCTTCCTGCAGCCTTTGATACTGTCATTCATTTTCTCCTTCAGGATCCTCTATTTTCTCTAAGTTGTCATGGCACTGCTCTTCCCCCTTCTGCTCGTTCTCCTTTTCTTTGTTTGATTCTTCCTTTTCAGTCCCCTTTACTGGTTCTTCACCTAACCATGGGACCGCTAAGTCCTATTGTAGGTCCTCCTCTCTAGTCATGCTATACTGTCTTCTTTGATTGATCTCATCAGCTATCATAAGGTTTAATCAACACCTCTGGCAATAATGCCCACATAGATATAGTTATGGAAATAGAGATCTATATCTATCTGTTAATTCCTATACCTAAATAATAAGGATAGCATATTTATGTAGCACCTACCATGTGCCAGGCACTGTGCTGAGCACTTTCTTAAGTATTATCTTATTATCCTCACAACTCTGGCGGATAGGTGCTATTATTATCCTCATTTTACAGATGAGGAAACTGAGGCAAATAGAAGTTAAGTGACTTTCCCAGGGTCTCATACCTCAAAAATGTGACTGATTTGTGTGAGGCTGGATTTGAACTCAAGTCTGCCTGATTCCAGATCCGGCACTCCATCTACTGCGCCCCCTAGCTGCCTCAACTATATAGTATACACATATCATAAATATTCTATATATGCTAAATATATTAAACATATGTTAATATCTAGATCTCTCTATAGCAATATCAAGAATATATATCTAGGATGTATACAAGTACATCTAGGATGTGTGTGTGTGTGTGTAGTAGTAGTAGTAGTAGTAGTAGTAGCAGCAGCAGCAGCAGCAGCAGCAGTAGCAGTAGTAGTAGTAGTAGTAGTAGTGGTGGTGGTGTGAAATCAGTTTGTAAAGATATGTTAGGGACCTATTGTGAAGGGCTTTAAATGCTAAACATATACATATAAATATACATATGCAGACATACTATAGATGTGCACACATGTGTTTATGTATAACATATATCACTTTCTTACATACACGTATATACATACTGTATATGTGCATACATGTGTATATGTATAAATCTGCAGCTCTGGTCTCACTCTCAATTAGATGTCTTGAAGGCAACTCAAACTCAACATGTCCAAAAAAGAATTCGTTAACTCCACTCCCCCCAAAATACCCACTCTTCTTCCAAACTTCCTTATTATTGTTGAGGGCAACTGCAGTGTCATCCCTCATTCCTCCATCTTACTCACCCCATACATCTCATTAGCTGCCAAATGACGTTGTTTCTGTTTTCACAACATCCCTTGCATATATCCCCATCAACTTCTCTCCACTCACATAGCCATAACCTAGTTCGGGCTCCCATCATCTCTCACCTGAACTACTACACTAGCCTTCTAACTGGTCTCCTTGCCTCAAAATTTATCCTACACCAATCCATCCTTCACTCAACTGCCAGAAGGATTTTTCTTTAATTTTTTCTTAAGCATAATTTTTTCACTTTATTTTTCTTGTTTTTTTCCCCCCAACATGGAGATACGTTTCCCAATATGGAGATATGTTTTGCATGATTTCACAACATGTTTAATTGAAATGACATTTCTTGCCTTCACAATGGGTGGGAGAGAATTTGGAAGTCAAAAGAAAAGAATGTTAAAATAAATAAATAATTTAAAAAAAAGAATGATGTTGACAAGCTGGAGATCACCTAGAAGAGCAATCAGCAGGAGTATGCTGGTAAATGTTGAACAATTGCCTCTTCAGAAAAACATGTAGGAGTTTAATCTGCATTATTAACATTTTCTCCATCCCTTTCTTAAGTCTAGAAAATCAATGAAACAATAAATCAAGCCTTGATTTGTAGTGTTTGCAGATTTCTAAATTGTGAATGTTCATTAAAATTTAACAATCAGCTCTTGCAAAATGGTTCTGAGCCAGTTCCAGTGCACCACTGGTCACCAGGCTGGTGAGGGCCTTCACAACCATAAACTGTATAATTTATCCACTAATAGACTGGTTCCTACTTCTTGTTCAGTGAGGGCCAAAGAAACTGAAGCTTTTTTAACTTAAAAAAGGGAAGACTTAGGATGGAGATACCTGTCTTCAAATATCTGAAGAACTGTTCTACATAATATGAATTATACCTGTTTTGCTTGGCTTCAGAGGGCAGAACTGGAAATGAAGAGTGGAATTTATAGAATAAGAGAATCATAAGAGTTTTAGGGTTTGATGCTGCCTCAGTGGCCCTGTAGTCTAACTGAAAAAATAACTCCATCTCCAGCATACTCAATGAGTGGCCATTACATCCTTTGCCCAGGGAATTCAATACTTTTAGAGACAGCTCATTTTATTTTGATACTGCTCTAAATCTGTGGTACTCAAAGTGTGATAGGGGGATCCCTGGAATTGCAGAGAAATTTTTCTAAAGCATATAACTGAACAAGTCAATTCCCCCTATTTAAGGAGCTCCAGTGGCTCCCTATGATCCAAAGGATCAAATATAAATTCTGGCATATAACGCTTTTCATAACAAGGACCATTCTTACCTTTCCAGCCTTCCTATATCTTATTCCCTTCTATATATGCTAAGATTCAGCTACATTGGCCTACTTGGAATTCCTTGACATGACCTTCTATCTCCTGTCTGTCTTGATCCTGGCTGCCACTCATGCCTGGAATGCTCTGCCCCTCACCTCCAACTTTGAGTTTCTTCAAGATACTGTTTAAATATCACTTTCTGGAGGAGGCCTCCCCCCCTTGCCCAAGCAAGCTGCTAATGCTTTCCCCTTTCACACTTCTATCACATATGAATAAATATCTTGTATGTACCTACATATTTACATGTTGTCTTATCCATTAGACTGTGTGCTTCATGAGCGTAGGGGCTTTTTTCAACCTTTCTTTGGATGCCTAGCACTAAATACAGTGTCTGACACATAATAAGTACTTACTAAAAATTAAAAGGCTTGATTTGCATTAAAGTTACAGAAAAAAGATGATACCAAAAACAGATATGAAAAAGAACTAGTAATCTTTAAAAACTCACTGAACATCATAATGTAGTATGTATATTTATATGTGGGTTGGTAGGCATAAGAGAGAAGAAATATTAATACATATACAACAGAAACATCATTCCTAGTTTAACATTAATTTATAGTGAAAATGCTATTAACCTTCATTAGCTACTGTTTGTTTTTAATAATGGCAAAGTTTAATGAATGACTATGATTAAAAAGCAATTATATCAAAGTTAAAAGCTTACAGCTGTTACTCTCTGTTCCCAGTCATGTTTGTCATCAGATAAGATTTCTCTAATTTTATTTATGGATTCTTCAAGATCTCGACTGGAATAAATCTGTAAATAAAAAAAGTGTAATCAATCTGTAAGATAATTCACATAACTAGACATAGCTTATTTTTCAATTGTATCAAATTGAGAATATGCAATGGGCATGAATGACAAAAAATTATCATTTAAAAAAAAATCCGCATGCAAAAGAGATCAATGTGAGGTAAAATGATGTGATAGATGTCTTTAAACAGCATGTATATGCTTGCTAAGTTTTTTGACCTTGTCGCAATCCTTGCTGGACAGCTCTACTGAAAATTTAACAAATTTCTCATTGTATAAGCAGAAAAAAGAATTCTGGTCAAAAATGTTCCATAGTGCTTATGATAAGGAGTTGAGTTTTTTGTTTACTCCAACATTCTATGGATCTGTGATCCCATAAGTGTGGATATTCTCTTCAATAATGCAGATAACAAACCATGTATGATTGCCCACGAGGCTCTTAGCCAAGTTTTCCCCTAAGTTCACCACAAGTCACCACCCAACATACTAGTGCCTTCCTGGAATTCTTTTGACATTGTAAAGATACAATGAAGAACAATGGTTCTAATGGCTAATCCTCAATCTTGCCACATTATCAGCCCAGCTTTTCTTATCATGTATTTCTTCAATAATATACTTTACCCCACTTATCCTGCAGGATTCCTTGTTTGAAATGTGGTGCTACACACTTATGCCCACCACACATCTTTCTATTGAAAGATTGTGGTGATGCTGAACTTCAAATCTTTGGAAAATGTACTATTTCATTCTTCAAAACCATATATCACTAGGAAAAATGTTGGGGCCAATGACAGAGAAAAGCCAGGAAGCTGCCTGAGGTCTCCCCAATTTCCCTTGAAACAATGTTAAATCAGGCCTCTAAATGCATTCTGGAGAGGCAGAACCTACAAAAATACATAGTGAAACAATTTTCCAAGCCAAGATAACTTAGAAGGACTTCAGGAAAAATCTATCACACTTGGGTAAAAGGGGAGTGCAGCCCAGCACAGGTGGTATCCAGGCAAACAAGCAAGAGGCTCTTAGCCACAGCACAGATCAACAACCAAGGCCCAATTCAGCACGTCAGTTGTCAGGCTGACAGCCCCAGTGCAGTAGGTAAACTGCCAGCTCTGGATTCCCCCAGCACAATAAATGCAACTAGGCCGGCCCACCACAGCACAGTGGGCAAGTTGCAAGCCCCATTGCAAGAAGCTTGGGGACAGTGTCTCCTGCACCCTAGGAGAAGAGCTCAACTTTAAAAGTCACAAAATAGGCAGGAAAATCAGCAAAAAACAAAAGAGCCCTGACCATAGAAAGCTACTATGACTACAGAGAAGAAAGATCAAAACACAAACTCAGAATAGAACAACAATGTCAAAATGCCTACATGTGAAACCTCAAAGAGCTCTGATTTGGTCTCAAGCCCAAAAAAGTCCACTTGGAAAAGCTTAAAAAGGATTTTAAAAATCAAATAAAAGAGGTAGAAGAAAAACTAGGAAAAGAAATTAGTATTATACATGAGAATCATGAGTCAACAGCTTGAAAAAGGAAGCACAAAAACTGACAGAAGAAAACAACTCCTTAAAAAGTAGAATTGGTCAAATGGAAAAGGAAATGCAAAAGATAACTGAAGGAAACAATTCCTTAAAACTCAGAATTGGGCAAGTGTAAGGTAATGAATCTATGAGACATCAAGAATCAGTCAAACAAACTCAAAAGAATGAAAAAATAGAAGAAAATGTAAAATACCACATTGGAAAAACAATTGACCTGTAAAATAGATCCAGGAGAGATAATTTAATAATTATTGAACTACCTGAAAGCCATGATCAAAAAAAGAGCCAAGACAGTGTCTTTCAAAAAATTATCAAGAAAAACTGCTCTAATATCCTAGAGAGGTTAAAATAGTAATTGAAAGAATCCACTGATCACTTCCTGAAAAAGATGCCAAAATAAAAACTCCAAGAAATATTATAGCCAAATTTCAGAACTATTAGGTCAAGGAGAAAATACTATAAGCAGCCAGAAAGAAACAATTCAAATATCAAGGAGCCACAGTCAGGATTACACAGGACTTGGCAGCTCCTACCTTAAAGGATCACAGGGCTTGGAATATGATATTCTAAAAGGCAAAGGTGCTTGGATCATAACCAAGAATCAACTACCCAGCAAAATTGAGCATAATGTTTCAAAGGAAAAAAATGGATATTTAAGCACATTTTTTTCAAACTTTCCTAATGAAAAAACCAGAGCTGAACAGAAAATTTAAATCTTTAAATACAAGATTCAAGAGAAGCATAAAAAGGTAAATTGGTAAAAAAGAAAAACAAAACAAAACCATGTTATTCAATAAGAAAAAATGTTGGAGTTTGAAAGATAAACCTTTATATTTCAGGGAGAAGCCAAGGACTGTTAAAAAATCCTGCAGCTTCTCAAAAGCAATCCAACTCACTCTCTTCTTGTTATTGAATTCTGGGCCCTGATTATCTATCAGTTGTTTAGAAGGGAAGTTCAGCACCAGTCAGCTGGCAACTTATTGATGAACTCTTTGGCCAGGGCAACTTGTGAAACAAAGGGTGCTCTTATTATAAATAAACAATATTAACTTATGTCTCAACTTTTCAAAGATACTTTTCTGTCTCAATTTCATTTTATTTTCATAATAACACTACATGGTCAATCAACTAGTACAGGTAGACAAAGGACTTATAAGACAAAGTACTTGCCCTTAAGGAGTTCACAATCCACTTGAGGAAAAAAGAGTTTACAAATGGAAAAATATTTAATAAAACAAGGCAGCATAAACTGCAAATGAGGAACACAGGCAATAGACAGTATAGAAGTTTGGAAGATGAGAGCTTATTTTGGGAGAGGTGGACAGAAGTGGTATATCTTCATTCAACTGATGGGGAAAGTAACTCACAGTCAAAGCCACACAATTAGCTAGTGGAAGATCTGGAATTTAAACTTAGCTTGATTCAATAAATATTTATTAAACTCTTAATGCTCTGAAAGAAACCAAGTTTATATAAGGCATTCAGGTAGTTGATAATCTACTAGACAGGTATGATACATGCACAAATAATTAAAAAAAAAAAAGATAAAGGATAAGTGTTTAAGAGAGGTGCAAAGTGTTATCCTGAAGCCTGGATAGAGAAAAGGCTAATAATTACATAAGCAGTAGGGCTGGGGATAACAACCTTGAAAAGCTTCATGGTACAAGTGGCATTTAAGACAGAATTTCAAGGATAGATAGGAACTCAACAGGCAAAGAAGAGCACAAGGACTGTTCTATTTATTGTGAGTAGTATGAGCAATGGCATGAACTTGGGTGAGCCCTGGGCATGTACAGGCAAGTAAAAATAGTCTACTTTGACTGAAGGACAGATTCCATGGAGGGAAGCAACATGCATGAAATGATCTCAGAAAGGTAGAATGGTGCCAGATTGTGGTGAGTTAGCATCTTTGATGCCAAGCTAAGTAATATGAATTTAGTAAGCAACAAGGAAATACGTAAGGATTTTTGAGGAGTGATATTAGGAGGTGGGGTGTAGACTTGTCTGGAGCTGGCCTTTCTCTAACAGCAGCAGCTTCCAGGTGCTCCCAGCCCAGGGGAGTTGGACATCTGGTTAGAAGGAGATTACAGGGAACCTTTTGCTGGCTGGTACAGACTGGTAATTTTACTGCCCATATGCAGTTCTGGATGCTAGTTCCAAGGTGGAGGTAAAGGTTGGTAGCTGCCTCACAAGGAAGCAGAAGCCCTGGTGTCAGTTGCAAGGCAAAGAGGTACACTAACACTTATGGCTGCAGGGGACCTGGGACCCTTCTTGGATAAAAACCAGAACACAGACCAGGAGAGCAGCAACTCACACCTCTCCTCTGATCACACAACCCTGGAAGCAACAAAAACTTGTAGAACCCCCTTCTCCCCAAGACCTAGCTCTGAAAACAGCAGCATGAAAATGCCTAAAGCTTGGGACAATGCCTCCCCACCCCCAGGTGAGAAGAGTTCAACTTTAACATAAGGTTCAAAGTCAACTAATAGGTTAGCAAAATGAACAAACAATAAAAAAAGAACCTGACCATAAAAAGTTACGATGGCAGGGAAGACCAAGACATAAACTCAGAAGAAGACAACAATGTGAAAACAACTATAAACAACACCTCAAAGAAAATGCTAAACAGACCCAAGCCCAGCAAGAATTCCTGGAAGAGTTAAAGAAATAGATGAAACTGGTAGAGGAAAAACTGGGAAAAGAAATGAGTGATGTAAAAAAATTACAAAAAGAGAATTGACAGTTTGGAGGCACAAAAAATACTGAAGAAAATAACACCTTAAAAAACAGAATTGTCTTAATGGTAAAAGAGGCACAAAAATTCACTGAAGAAGAGAACTCCTTAAAAAGCAGAATAGGCCAAATGGAAAAGGAGGTACAAAATCTCTCTGAAGAAAATAATTCCTTAAAAATTAGAATTGGGCAAGTGAAAGCTAACAATTCCCCTGAGACATCAAGAAACAATAAAACAAAATCAAAAGAATGAAAGAATTTCAGACTCCTGAATTTTAGTCCCAAAATCTTTCCAGTAGACTTCACTATAATGCATGAGATACAAAATAGATTAAGCTTAATTATCATTAATTATCTAATTATTAATTAGTAATTTATTCTTAATTAAATGTATTTAAACTTAAGTAAAATTAAATTTATATTATTTAATTATCAATTAATTATTAATTAAGCTTCCGCCTGTTTATTAAACAGGAATCCAAAACTTTTCAGAATACTTCAAATTAATTTGCAACATCCCTCAAAGTACAGGTGCATAAGTTTGTGCACACACACACTAACATATTTCCTGGAGTTTAAGAATCTTCTTTCCTCAAATCCTATTGAAAAATTAGGCTCTTATTTTAAATTTCTCTCTATATATGGTTTCTCTTCTTGTGATATGTATTTCTAAAAATCCTTGCTTCTGGTATAGAAGCACTCCCTTCTGCACATCTTACTGCTCTAAGAAGGCCCCACTTTCACTTTTCCATCTTGTTCTAATTTTGAATGACAAGGTCTTCATTTTTTTGGGGGGGGGGTCTGTTCTTGCAATATTCTTAATAGTCATAACTTGATTCTATAAAGGGTATAGGGCATGGTTCGTTTGAAAAGAAGGCTCCAAAATAATTTTAAGATTGTCAAAAAAAAAAAAGAAAGAAAGAAAGAAAGAAAGAAATTAAAGAGTTCTAAGAACAAATGTACTTTTACTATGCACCACTACTCACCTGTACTACTGGTACATCATCAAATGCTTTAATAAAGTCCTCTTCATCAACAGCACCAGCTCCTTCTTTTGCAGCTGACAGAGAGAAAGATTATTATAACAACCAAAAAACAAGTCAGCGTTTATAAAACAGTCAGGATTTAAACATCCAAAACCACATTAAGAAAGATGTGACTAATACAAGATTTATAAAATGTACACATAATGAGTCAAAGACAACACACAATATTGTCCTTTGACATTAAGGAACAATCCAACATAGTAAGGTTGTTACAACATAACTGGTCAATGATGTGCTGCTGCCTAAAAAAAGAATATTTCTTTAACTGTAAAAAGTTTTGGCTTCAATAGCCTCAATTCATCTATAATAATATTAACATGCAAACACTATGACAAGCACCTAGACTAAATACAAAGGATCATTTCAGCACATACATCAGACTATGTCATTGGTCTAGTGTCTTGGGTCAAAAACATTCCATCAATAAAATCTGCAAAGGAATGCTAAAGAATCCCATCAGTCTTCTTTCAAGTTTTAAATTATGACAGAGATGTTTAATTCCTTACGAGCTTAAAAATTTTGGTTTCCCAAGAATTCTTGAGAACTGCCTCAAATTTTCATTTACAGAAAAGAGCCCCAGATGAGCATACCCCAGGTAAAGCAGAAAGGCTGCATTAGTCCTTCTAGTTCTTTTTGTTTGGTTGCATATCAGATGCCTTCCTTTGGGGACAAATTATTTCTTTTTGAAATACATGCTTCCTTATACTTTGCAATCAGAGAAATGCTTCCAAATTTTAATTCATCCTTAAATATAGTTTGTGCAAGTCGTTAAAGGGCCCAGAATGTCAGTGCTAGTCTAATTCAAAATTTTTACTTTGTAGCTTTCAAGACTAAGATTTATAGAAGTTAAATGATTTGCAAAATTCACACAACTAGTTAGTGAAAGAAGCAAAACTCAAATCTAAATTTCTTGACCACCAGTGTTCTTTTCAGCATACTATACTTCTAATCTTACCTATATTATTTACAATTAAAGTTGAACTAACAGGTTATAATAGAAAGGCAAAAAAACAATCCTGCCCCAGCTGAATTTCAAAAAAAGAGAATGGAAAGAATAATGAAAGTTGCATTATTAGGAGGATAAGAATGGAGGCGGAATTGTGGTGGAGATGGAAAAGAATTCAGATGATCTTTCAATGTATTACTAAAGGACTCTTGTTTCCAAAGCTACCACTATGTCACAAAAACACCAGTGGATCAGTAGCATTTCCCATTTTCCAGTATGACTAGAACAATAAAAAAAGTCCTAGTCTATACCTTTTAAAGTTAACAATGCCCCATAATTGGTGTATTCTTTCATGCTAAATATACTCAGAGCTAGTATCTTGTTAATTTTTTTCAGCACTGGCCATCAATGCTTCCTTTGCCAGAAGGTATTAACTGGCTACTGAGAATCAATTAGGGTTAAAGGAAGGTAGGCAGGAAAACAATGTTAAGCTGATTTTTGCTAAAGCAACTGGCTAAATTTTGGCCCCAAAGAAAAGATAATGAATCATACCTCTCACCTCTCAAGAGACAGGCAGGGGATTGTGGAGGCAAAATGGTACATACATTGTCAGTCAGGGATATTATATAGATTGTTTTTGTTTATTCTTTTCTCTCTATTAAAAAGGAGGGTGGGGGCAGCTAGGTGGAGCAGTGAATAGAGCTCCATCCTTGGAGTCAGGAGGATCTGAGTTCAAATCCAGGCTCAAACACTTAACATTTACTAGCTGTGTGACCTAGGCAAGTCACTTGACCCCAATTGCCTCACTCCAAAAAAAAAAAAAAAGGGTGATTAGTATCTAGAAATTACTGTTTCCACATACAAAAGGCATCAATAAAACTTATCTTTAAAAATGAATGAATAAATATAACAATTTGCTAGGAGGAAACTTGAGATCTGCTGTTCTACTACCCAGCCGTAGGATAACAGGAGGATGGGGACTAACTTTTACAATAAATGAGGTCAGGGCAGCTAGGTGGTGCAGTGGATAGAGCACCAGCCCTGGAGTCAGGAGGACCAAAGTTCAAATCTAGCCTCAGACACCTGACATTTTCTAGCTGTGTGCCCCTGGGCAAGTCACTTAACCCCAATTGCCTCACAAAAACAAAATATAATAAACAAGGTCAACATCTGAAGGTTTTTGCAGAATTCAGGTTGAATCTGGAACTATCAATAACGTTAAACCACAGAAAACATCGTAGCAGTGGCTATAAAGTAAAGCCTAGATTTCTGGGTATTTATAAAACCCTAGCAGGCATAAAGTATATATTCCCCAAGTTACTCTGAAAAAGGTGTTAAGAACTGTGGATAAGTCACTCAACCTCTCTGTGCCTCAGTTTCTCCATCTGTAAAATGAATGGGTTGGACTGAAGAGCCTCCAATCAGTGAGTCAATAAAAGACGTAAAAGAGACAAAGCAGAGAAGGAAAAAACAAAGACATGGTTTTTACATGTTTACATTTTATCAAAAGGCCTATCAGGTTTTTACATTTTTACATTTTATCAAAAGGCCTAACAGGCTTTCACACATTTTACTTTTTTTTTTAATTATTCAATTTTTTAAAAATTATCAAGCTTTTCAATGAATTTTTTCCTCCTTCCCAGTCTACTAGGGAAAAAAAATAAAGAAAAACAACCCCACTATAACTAATATGAAAAGTCAAGCAAAAAATTAAATAAATTTCCCATGCTGACCATTTTCAAAATGCACGTCTCATTGAGCGTATTTAGTCCATCAACCTCTCTGTTAGGAGGTGAGTAGCATTCTTCATCATCAGTCCTTTGCAATCATAGCTGATAATTACATTTCATCAAATTTCTTAAGTCTTCCAAAAACTTTTTTATTTATTTTTTTTTTAGGCAATTGGGGTTAAGTGACTTGCCCAGGGTCACACAGCTAGTAAGTGTCAAGTGTTTGGTCTGAGGTCACATTTGAACTCAGGCCCTCCTGATTTCAGGGCTGGTGCTATATCCACTGCACCACCTACCTGCCCCTTTTTTATTTTTTACAATGTTGACATAGCAAGTGTAGAGAGATAGGCCAGAATGAGAACATGAGCTATTACTCTCACAGAGAATGTAAACTACTTTGAGTAAATGTAGACAGCAAAAGCAGCTCCAACTAACCCATGGGAACACTTGCATGTGACCCTGAACCATACCTGGTACTATCCTTTCTATGCTCTGTTTCTATATAATACCTGACCTGGCCTAGGGTTGGTGCTGGGATCCACAATGTTACTTTTTCCTGCTGCTGCCCAGAATGACTGGCCTCTTATGAGTATACTCCTCCAATTAATAGAATTAACCCTAATAAAACATATTAATATCCAAGCTGGTATATACCCCTCTTTCTTTTGTATCTCAGGCCATCCCACAATTAGCACAATTAGGGCTGAACAGATCAGCCTCCTTACATTTGGTGTAGTGGGCAGGATAGTTTACCCCTTTATAATAAGTTGGTCTCCTGGTTCTGTTCATCTCATTCTTCATCAGTTCATATAAGTCTTGCGAGGTTTCTCCGAAATGATCTCTTTTATCATTTCTTACAGTACAATAGTATTCCAAGTCAAATATGCCACAATTTGTTCAGTCATCATTTAATCATTTCATTTACTTTCAAATTTTAAAAGATCTCATGACTTCATCAGTTGTAGGTGGGCACTCTACCCACGTTTGCACATCACAACCCTCCATGTTTCACCTCAGTAATGGCAGGTCAGTGGTAAAGTTGCTGAGAGGAGTGTTGTGGAAAGATAAGTGATGCAGTATCAGAGCACCTGGGTTTATATCCCAACTACGAATTACTATTAAATTCATCTCTCTAATATTTTTCTTTTCTGCTTCTTCTGTAGCAAGAAGGGAACAGTGAGAGTATGGGGTCTAGTTCAGACTTCATTAAATCCTCCTGAGAGAACAAAGAGTATAATCCCAGACCTGCCTTAAAAACAGACTAAGTCAGCTGGTTTTATGAGCTCTTTGGTCTCCAAACCCATGAAGTTCAAGGACAGCTTTTTGATAGTAGCAATTTTAAAAGCTTGAAGAGGATGGGACAGAAGAAAGCTGGGTGTAAGAATAGTTGGCTGGAAAACATATACAAATAAAGTTAGATGCTCTTGGAACCAGAGCCTGTATATTCAAAAATTTTCCAGAAGGGGCAAGGCCAGGGAACTAAAAAAGTTTAAAATTGAGTCTCCCAAAACTGGGAAGGAAGGCCTTACCTTATTTCTGGCTATCAAACTGAAAACAAATAGGATGTGTGGGGGTCAGGGAGGAGGGATGGCTAGGTGGCACAGTGGATAGAGTTCCAGTCTGGAGTCAGAAAGACTCCTCTCCTTGAATTCAAATCTGGCCTCAGAACTTACTAACCATGTGACCCTGGGCATATTACTTAACCTGGTTTGCCTCAGTTTTCTCATCTGTAAAATGAACTGGAGAAGGAAATGGCAAAACACTCCAGTATCTTTGTCAAGAAAACCCCAAATGGGGTCATGGAGAGTTGGATATGACTGAAACAACTGAAAAAAAAGAAGTGTATAAGGGACCCTCTGGCTACAAACAGATGACTACCTTTTACCCTATAGCTATATTTAAGAACAATAAATAAAATCTGGTCATAAATATCAGAAGAGTATATAGTCCAAAGCAATCATACACTTAAAGTGTCCCCTCCCCAAACAATTTATTAAACACAAGCCGAAATTTATTTCAGACGACCAATACGACTTCTGATGGATGGAAGGAGTCATCAATCATTAACAGCAGTTTTCACTACTTTATCCCAAACATAGGACACTATACTCATACCAGAAGACTTAGACCCTAGGGCAACAGGTCCAATGCGACGCGTGGTTCCCATTGCAACGCTTCTTCGTGAGCCTGGGGGGGCCTTGGAAGATGTAGAGGAGCTGGCTGAAGGAGGCCTGCTCCCATCCACAGAGTCTTCATCATCAAAATTCTTATCTGAAGAGAACGGGGAAAAGAAAAAACATCAAAACTAAATATTTTCCAGCTGAAACTTGAAGTAACAAATAGCCTCTGGGGATAGCCATCACCTTGTTGACGTGGCAGGCAGGTCTACAGCAGACAAGAGTTGGAGTGAGAAAAATTGCGTTTACATCCCAACTCCGCCACTTACTGGGCTGTTCGGCCTACAAAAGACATTTAACCATTTCCTAGCTGTCAAAGGGGGAAAATAATATTTCCACTTTCTATCTCATGGGCTTGGGGGGCGGGGAGCCTTAAAGTACTATATAAATGAGTGTGTTTAATTAGTTGAAAAGGTTAAATATACCAAGGAAGTTGAGGATGAAATACTACTAAATTTAGATGTAAGCTCACTAGTAATTTTAGAGTACTTAGCAGAGAATAAAGATAAACTCAGGTTCATCCAAACTTTTCCTATCTTCTCAGATCCTGAGCTCAGATTCTCATAGTCTAGCTAAATTTGTAAGGATTAGAGTCAATGACTAGATACAAATTAATATATGCAAAATATATATGCATTATGCACCCAGAAAGACATAATCAAATCCAATCACTGAGACTGTCATGATTTGAATGCCCTGGTATTAAATGTGGGCAATTCACTTTAACTTCAGTGGATTACGGTTCCCTTATCTGTAAAATGAGTAGGCTGGACTACCACACCTCCAAGGTTCCTACTAGATCTAAATCTACAGTCCTATAAACTTAAATAATCAACTCAGTAAAAATTCATATGGATATTAGCTAGTTGTTAAGCTGACTGAATCAGCCACTTTGATAGTTAATGTATATAAACAGCCTGAGATGAGCTGTCCATGTCACATAGTGTGCATTTCAGATGAAAATTTTCCTTAATGTAATGGCTCAGTAAAATGTCCTGGAGAACTGTCCAATGGTGGATAATCAGTGAACTTGGGATTAATCATGTGATGATTATATTTTTAGTGCACGACACTTTTAAAAATAGGTTGGTCCAAACAGCTTTATTCTATCTTTTTTTTAACCAATGACTGTCTTATTTACAGATTCTTTTCAGCTAATATCTTGACTAATATATCAATGGTCACAAGATATTAGAAGCCAGTTTGGTACAAAAGTGGAAAAGAGATAATATTAGTGATTGACAAAATTTTAATCTAATTTTAATCAAATCTTACTTTCAAAGTTTTTTTTTAAGAGGTTTCCTTTTTTATAAACTATTTTTATAGCTTAAAATACAGAGGCTGTTAGGTGATACAGTGGATAGACCTAAGTTCAAATTCAATCTCAGACAGTAGCTGTGTGACCCTGGGAAAGGTCACTTAACTAGCCTCAGTCTGCCTCAACCGTAATTCCTAAATTGTGAGGATCAAATAAGATAATATTTGAAAAGCTCTTAGTACAAGGCAAGGCACATAGCAGGCATTTAATTAATGCTTGTTCCCTTCCTCTATCCTTTCCTTAAAATTAAAGATCCTGCAATGGTACACTTATACAAATACGAAAGGCTTTCTGAAGTATTTCTGAGTCATTTCAGTCAGATAAAAGAAAAAAGAGGGTGGGGGGACAGAGTGAACAAGCTAGGTGGAAAACATGTAAAAAAAATTATAATTACTGCCCTTCACTAGTTGTTATTGATCCTAATGTTCTTCTATAAACAGTAAAATTTTACCGAGAGTTGTAAAATAAATAATAAACACAGTCCAACAACTGTCTTTTCCTGTTTAACCTGGAATGTATCATTTTTGCAATTAATATTTATAACTGCACAGGGGGCAGGGGGTGTGCCAAGACCTTTGTCTAGGCAGAAATATTCGACTTATTTTAAATTGTTTGACTCAATTTTGGAATTAATGGGGAAAAGTCAATGTCCTTACAATCAAATCACCCATCCTTGTGCAAATTAGCTTCCTCAACATTCAAGCTCAACTATAATATCATTTCACAGATGGTTGTGCCTTCACTCAGAAAAAAACCCCTCATTAACCCAGGTATTGAGAATTGTATTAGCATACAATCTTTCCAAGTGGATTTAAACAGGGTATTCAAAATTGTTTGGTTATAACATATTATTCACTGCACAATCACTTTAAGTTTCCAAGAACTAACATTTAAGAGGAAGAGAAGATTCAAGGGATGAAAGTCAAGTTGCTGGACCTTAATTACTGACAACAATGTAATACCTCATCTCAGTTCACTCCCAGGAAAGGTACAAAATTAGAAAGGTAGGAAAGAGGGAAGCTGTGTTGCTCCAAAGAGGAAAATTTCTACCCTCTTAGTATAATCCAATCATGGCAACTAAAGCTGATCAAAACACTTTAAAATACAGATTTTCCATTTCTCAGTTATTCGTCTAATTTTTTTCCTTTTATACTCCCATGTTTTAGATGAAAATTGGTGAAATAAATATTTTAATTACCATTAATTAGGTAAATATAAGGTACTGAACACTAGATATTTGTATAAGGGAGTCACACAACACTTGCCATCAAATAGTTTATATTCTAGAAAGTTAACAACTTGTCCAAATTTACTAAATCTCTCATATAAACTAAGAAATAACAAAAATTTATGCTATAATCACAATAATGTGGAGGAAAAAAAAATTCAGAATTTTGACCACAGCAAGTGACCAGTCATGATTTCAGAAATCTTTGATTGAAGCATGCCTCCCCACCTCTTTGCAGAGAGGCAGAGGACTGGATGTCTGTAGATTGATGCATGCATTATCAAGACATGGCCACGGTATTGATTTGTTTTGCCTGACTATGCTTATTTGTTTACAGAACAAAGTTAGTGTAGGAGAAGTACCTGGGAAGTAACTAGAAAGTAACAGGAGTGACAAAAAGAAAAGATCATTTTAAACTCTTAAAAAAAAATTTAACTTCATGAAGAGTGCAGAAAGCTCATATTTTAGTATCAAATCGTACCCACATCTTTCCAGGGCACTGAGATAAATCTTTTAGGACCTCAAAAAGTCATCAAGTAATATGCCTAAAAGTTGAGCAATTAATATTTGAATCAAGTAGATAACATTCTTTTCCAAAAATCCTCGATGCCCAACTTGATACATCACTTACATAAAAGTTGATTAGTATCTGGATGATGTAGAATAATTGTCACATTTATGCATTTGTACTATTGATTCTTTATAAACTTGCATACAGTCCCTTCTTGGCCCTAAACTTTCAAACATAGTCAATGCTAAGCCCTGGTGATACAAAAAAAGGCAAAAGACAGACCCTGCCCTTGAGGAGCTCACAATCTAACATGGGAGACCACAGGTAAACAAATACGCACAAACAAGGTTGGTACAGGATAAATAGCAAATAATTAACAGAGATTACTAGAATTAAGAGGGATTTGTAAAAGTTTTCTGTGAAACAGAAGAAGTTAGCTGGGACTTGAAGGAAATCAGGGAAGCCAGGAGGCAGAGATAAAAAAAGCATTCTAGGGATGGGGAAAGTCAGAGAAAATACTGGAGTCAAGAGATGGAGGGTCTTGATCATGGAACAGCCAGGAGATCAGTGTCATTGGTTTCAAGAGCACATATCTGTTATTAAGGTGTAAGAAGAATGGAAAGGTGAGGGTGCAAGGTAGGTTTTGAAGGGCTTTGAACACTAAGCAGATTTTGTATTTGATTCTGGAGGTGATAGGGGAAACCACTGGAGTCTATTTAATATAGGGGGGAGGGATGCCACATTAGGACTGGTGCTTTAGAAAAACTACTTTGGTGGCAGAATGGAGGACAGAATAGAGCAGGGAGAGACTTGAAGCAGCAGATCTACCAGCAGGCTATTGCAGTAGTCCAAATGTTAGGTGATGAGAGCCCGTATTAGAGTGGTGGCAGTGTCAGAGGAGACAAGGGAGCGTATTTTACAGAGTTGTTGCAAGGTAAAATCTATAGGTCTTGGCAACAGATTTGTACTATTCTGCTTAGGTCTGCCTCAGACATCAATTCCTTACCTCTGCAGGATCCAACCTAGCATCAGTGCCTGACATAGGCAATCCTTTACTTTTGGGAAGACAGCCCCGAGCATTAGCCCCTCCAACAACTGACATTTACCTTAACAACCCGGATCAGAGCTAAAGAGTCAGCTGACTAAACTCTTGCTGCCAGGACCTTTGGCTGCCAGTGACAGGAAGAGTCTTTAACAGTACAACATCTTTACAAAACACTGGCAAAGAAAAGGGGGAAAGAGGGGAGGAGGAGGTGTGTGTGATTCACTTTCTACAATCAACAAATTCTTGAGGGTATAAGACACAGTCAAAAGATACTATTTATGTATCCGCTATGATCTGCAAACTCCCACTCTTACTCTTCCACGGCCTTTGGCACAACTTCAGTTGCCTAAATGAAGATTCCCCTCCTTTGTCACCACTTCCCATTCTTTTACTGACACTCACCTCCACCATATATATTCTTTCCAATTCAGCTACAATCCAGCTCCGCATATTAATTCCACTAAGCCCTCTGAAACCCCTCTTCTGTCTTTTTAAAACTTCTCAATTTAGACCTGCTTCCTCTTGATCTCCTTCTATGTTCTGGCATCAAAGGGGATCCAGCTCCCCTAAGAAGACCAACCAACATCACTGGCCAACTTTCCAATACTAGCTCCACTTTCTCATACTCTCAGACAAACTGGTCATGGAGGGGAAATGGGCACATCCTTTGCTTCCCATTGCCATTTCTGGAACCTGCCCTTGTTAACATCACTCCTCAACCCATTCTCTTTTTAGGTTTATTCACCCTATCCAGAAATAACACTCAATCCAGAAACTGGTGGCAATTACCTACTAGCTCTGAGGTCTTTCTCTTTCCCTTCTCAAGGAGTTCAGTTACTGGCTCACAGTCTTCCTCTCCACCCCCAACATCTGCCCTCATACCACAAGACATTTCAACACACATGCTAAGGTTCCCGAAAACACCTCTGCCTCTTAGTTTCTAAGTCTCAACTCCTATGACCTACTCACCTCAGTTATACATAGGGATGGTC